CAATTGAGGGCTGCCGATTAGGTGAGAACGTCCCAGTGTGATCGATCTTTTTTTCGATAGACTAGTTCAAACCAAACACCAATCGCACGCAAGTTCACAATATGTTGCGCGCTAATCGCAATTGTTCGACTGGCATTGATTATAAATTTGAGTATTTCTTTTTCACATGTAGCTGACAAATTTGCACTAATCTGTTCACTTGTTCGTGCTTCAGTTTTCCGCCAGTTCAAATATGCACAACGAGAACAGATGATTATAATGAGACGAAATTTCTGCAAACACATCAGAGCGCGTAATTCGATTTATCAATCCAAAATCAAATCGGTTGGAATGATATAACATGAGAATGGGCAAATAAGAACTAAATTTGTTTTTGAATTTTCACTATTTTCAGTCGATACATTGTGGATCGCGTTATTCAACCGGTTTGGCGGAATTTCGTGCACTGAACAAAAACTTCCGCAATTCTGAGAGAGAGAGAATAAAACAGTCATAAAGTTGAATTTTTTGTTAACCAGTAACTAACCTTGTCCCCCCGTTCCAGTTGTTTTCAAAGATTTCAATTTGGCCGCCAGACGGGCTGCTGGCTTTTCAATAAATCTAAAAGTTTATAATATGTCATTCTAATCGAACATGAAGGCATACTGGGTGACCAAGCCATAGTGTCCGTTACGGAATTGACGAAGTGCGTGAATGCAATCGTTGTAGGCGTTGCGCAGTTCTTCTGATTTCGTTTCTTGTACTAAAATATTGAAGTAAGGAAGAGATGTGTAAGAGAGAAATGTTATCCATGATTTATGTACATGGAAAAATAGCTAGTTCAACTCTGGAATTTAGAGTGACGAACTTCTTAAGAATTATGGGAAATGGTGACCTTAAACAGAGGATTTCTGTTACACAGATTGCGTAAGAGACCAACAATCAAGAACCGAATTAGCCTGTCAACGGCGGAATCAGTACTTGTGAAATAATGATTCACACCATGTGAAATCTCATTTCTGTTTTGCATGCAATTGCACGATGATGAAGATACTTAAGAGTACTTTTAGAGATAGAGGATGCAATATCACGACCTGCGACAGTGATCCGGTCTCTAGTTCTCCCGTGCTTCTAGATCACCCGGTTTGAATCAGGAAGAAGAACCGGTTGGTCAAGGGAAAGTATATTGTTTCCTGAAGGTACCGGAGTTTAGCCTGACTACGCTCGAGAGTATCTAAAAGCGAAAATACCCAGCAAGTAAAGGTGTAGCACTGAACTCACGCACCGTTTCAAGTGAAGTTACTTCACCGGAGGTGGAAGTGACTTAAATAAAGATAAGAGACCTAGCTGAAGAAGCGGTCTCAGGATATCCAAGATCCTGGTGGAATCTATGCTACAAAAGGAGAAGGATGCACGAGCGAATGCTCCAAGCAACCAATGCTTGCAACCTTCTGAAAGCATACATACGTAAAAGGCAGACCAAAGGTGGTGGCAACTCTCGAGCATGTTACACTGCCGGTCTCAAGCCACCACATACTCCCTCCCTTTATTCCCACTTGAGTAATCGCTGCAGCAAATGAGGAGACGCATATGCAAGCATGAACGTAAACAAACAATCAGATAGGTACCCAGTCCGGTCAGTGGATAGACCAAGTGTAAAGGGCAAATCTGAGCTTTACATACGAATAAGGTGCAACTAAGCCGGGTAGTCAAGCCGGCAATGAATCTGTCAGTGCGGACAGCTTAATAATGAAGGAATAAAAATCCACCGGGGAAATGCATTGATACTGAAACCGGGAATAGAATGCAGATTTTTGTGATTTTGCAATCAAATTCATTTGGACGTCTGGGTAGAACGCTCCGGAATGCGAGAGACCATTTGTGCTAATAAATCCACTCATCAAATATGCTCAACAAACAATATTCCGCTTGTGGCCTCCCAGGAACGTTGTTAGTTCGGTTTTACCGATAAGGTCAGCCATTTTAAAGCTTCAGCTTGAATGGCTCTTCCGCAAACTAGTCAGAAATCATTGGTGCAAGTATTTTAAGTATTCAAAATGTGATAGCTTTCCTTTTCTTTTGAAAGCCGCACTGATTTTGCTCAGCGATTTAATCGAACTGAAGCGATCGTGTTAGTGCCTCAGGCATCTACTATCACCAGCTACTGAACGCACAGTTGTGTTTTCAAACGAGGACTTGAATATTGAACCCACGTATTTATCTCTCTTTGCAAAGTTAACAAATACCACGTATGGGTGAATGAAATTGACGGAATAAATTATTGTTAAGCGTAAATATAAATGAGTAAAACTTCACATCTCCCAAGTGATCAATGAAAACGTCCCCAACCAAAGTTAAATTTTAGTTCTGAATTGTCGTTCTCAATATTTCAATCAAACTAGCCTATGAGGTGACACACACCATGGAGCGACAAGTTACAGGTTTAGGACAACTGTGATCAATCGAGCTGCCCAGATGACGTCAGCAAAGCACGTACGTGTCACAGCATCTAGACTATAAACCATAGGTCGATTGTACCAACCAATTAGAAACCGTGCGGCCCAGACAGAAGCTGTACAACACCAGAAATACTAGCACGCGATTGGCAGAGGCTTGGAGGACCAATGAACCTGTCTTGTACATTTTATTTAACCCCCTGATTTCTTTCAGTAAACTAACAGCTATTCCAATGACTTTTTCCTCGTGTCTCGGTTCCGTGGGATACTGCGTGCAAGTACGAGTGTGATTCAGTGCTTACATGGCGTCCGTGATTGTTATTCCGCGATTTATAATTCGCGATTCGTACTTCGTGATCCGTGCATACTACGATTAGTATAAGTATCCACCTTGGATTAGCCCATTCAAGTCCAAAACAGGATGAAACAGCTGTCTAGTGCTCTTTGTCGGTCATCACAAACATTTTCATCGCATTTGGAAGGTTATTCGCTTTGTGCAATGAGAATCTTGAACCCGGATCAATTGCACTCAAAGAGCAGTACCAAATTATTTGAGCCTTCAGGACAGCCGATTTACTGAACGGTACACCTGATTGCATACAATTACCAGGGAGCAATGAACCATGCGGAGGAGGAACTACGGCTGCCGTATCCCTATTGAGATCCCGCCAATCCAATCATCGCTGTTTAACACATGTGATCGGGAACCTATCACACTTATGCAGCCTCTATTGGCGTTATATCTCACTGATGTAGTAAACAGGGAGTTCAATCAAGGTGGTGCATTTATATCACTCTATCGGTTATACTTCACTGAAGGATGCTCTTGGAGTTATCAACGACAAGTTTTGTGTGAATGACGAAAAACAGAATTCGATCTTTTTGATCGAAGATTCAGCAATTTCGAACATGATTGTCAGGGGCGCATTCGGAACAAAAAATGTCAGAAACTAATTAAGGTTTAGCGCGATGACTTTGGCGGATTACCACATAGGCGTTGAATACCATTCCACTGTTTTACGCGAGTTTCCTAGAAATCATGACCCAACAAATCTCCCATCA